CCGGTGGGGGCACCGGAATCTTTCTGCGTGGAGTTTGCATGTTCTCCCTGTGCAACGTGGGTTCTCTCCGGGTTCTCCAGCTTCCTCTCCCACAGTCCAAAAACATGTTGAGGTCAATTGGTGATTCTAAATTGTCCGTAGGTGTGAATGTGAGTGTGCTTGCTTGTCTGACTCTAAGTGTGGCCCTGCGATGGACTGGCGACCTGTCCAGGGTGTCCCCTGCCTTCACCCCAACGCAACCCGAATAGACTCCACCCCCCCGCAACCCTAGTGAGGATTAAGCGGTGCATAGATAATGGATGGATTTGTGTTTGTAATGAAAAATGCAGACACTGCTATTTTTTTTTTAACAGCCCAATATCATTTTTTCCTTCATTTTCTGTAAAGTACTTAAAATATTAATACATTTTTTGTTTTGTTTTGATGTAAAATATAATGTGCAGTGTTCCCAATGAACGGAAATTTAAAAATTTATAAGGATTTTGAGCTTTACTCACATTTTAAAAAACACTGCTATTATTTTGAACACAACTGTAAGTTTAAAAGCTGTGCTGTGAATTTATTGGTGTTTCCATGTAAAATAATCACTTAGAGAGAATTTTAGAAGCAATAAAGTGTCTTGGTCTTGTACAATAGTTTGCATCTTATGTCGGCTGCTTTCATGTCAACTGTGCAGAGAGAGTCTTCTTTTGAAAGGGAATGTACAGCAGCAGCTCAACTGTATTCAGACCTCTAGACACTAAAACAGTCCATTTAGAAGGTTACACTTATGGCGAAATAAACCATCTTTGCAGTATTTAGAGTTGAAAAACTGAAACATGTGAGACTTCAATTTAAGGGGCACAATATGGGACATTTAAAAAAATGTAATAAAATATAAAGTACAGTGGCATAGCACAAAGGAATGATCTTTTATCAGCACCACTTGATTACTGTTGGAAGACAGCTTGATACAGCACACCAGTACACTAACACAACCAGCATCGCTGCTGGGCCACCCTTAATGTTACTGCAACAGTAAGTGGAAGGAAAGTACTTCTTATCCAGGTTTCAGTTTAGTATGTTTCAGGTTTTGATGGAATATAAAATGGTGTTCTGAGCATTACAGACCTGCTGTTAAACATTCTTTGCCTTTTGTGTGATATTTCACAATCCTGAGGGAAATTCTAGAAACCACACAGTGTTGTGGTTTTGCTTTAATAAAGAATAAGACAACTTTCAGGCCAAGCCTCTGAACATGAGTTATCAGAGAACCCATTATGTTTCAAATGTGTTGGAATTCATGAAACAAAAAACATGGTAGTAATGCTGGCAAGTGATCTACTCTTGTTATTAGTAGTTATTATGTTACAACTAATAGTTCTGGAGTGGCACATGTACATCGAATAGAATAGAATCATTTTTTATTCATCCCCCATTGGGGGAAGTTTACACGCCACAGCCGCATCCAAAAATATAGAAAGAAAGTACAAGAAATAACTCTAATTAATTAATTAAGTAATTAATTAATAGTAGTATTTACATTGAAAAGAAAAATAGATTGTGCAAATTTGTACAAATTTGCAGTGCAAAAGTGAAGTTGATACATGAAATGCTATTTTTTTCAATTTGGTCAACACCAG